GTTTATTTGTTCGCTATGCATTCAGTCGCTGTAATAGCTATCGTCACCAAACTTTTAAAGATACTTTCTAAAGTTCAAAGAATGATCGACATCTGCTTTGTTCTGAATAAAAAAAGAACAACAGACTTGTCACAGGAAATCTATGCGACTGATCAATTGGATTGCAGGGTTTCAAAAATAGAGAAAATCAGTAGCGAAGGCCATCTAATCGCTCATAGGCAACAATCCACAAATTCTATCTGTACATGGGTATTCTGTACACAGTACAAGCAACCTATGAAGCTGATCGATAGAATTCACTGACCTTAGTATATAGAGAAGAAACGTTGTCTATCCGTCTGTGCGCTGTGGATTTAGTTTCTGTAATATTTACGATTGTTAAACTTTGCATGGTGTTTCCCTACGTTCTGTGGAAGGTTGACATAGAGTTGATTTTTCAGATGAAGGGTTCCTTGAGGATACCTGAGTGAAATGTCACCCACCCTCACAGAAAGCAAAAAATGAAAATATCATCCTTTTACTCATGTATAACAAATGATAAAAGCGAATCCAAATCGTTTATATGATATAGATTCATAAATCCCTTCAGCTTTTTCTCTGAAGGATACATGATGAAAACAAACACCTTCTTTCGTTATATCATCATACTCATTCATATTTAGCAAATGACGTTTATTCTGTGTCGATTCCTTCACGAAGACAAGAATATTGACTAACTATGACAAAATGAAAAGAACAGTCATCTCCCGATATAATACTTGTTTTATTTTATTTCAAATTCACCCACGTTGAAAAAATCGACGATGAAATGATATTATACCACAAGATATGACTTTATCAAAAGCAGAACGATTAGTCGTGATTTTCGAAAAGTTTTGGTCACTTTTTAAACTTATACTAGCGGGATAATTCGATGACTATTAAGAAATATCGACGCCGGAATCACCAAGCGTTTCAAAGCTGCAGAACATAAAAATATCCATATACTACGAATTTTTCCCTCTGTTCTTTTTCTCTTTCTCATCATATATAACACACAACGGTAAATTTGGTTATATCACCTTGTGCGAAAGAACTGCCTAAACTAATTTTTCACCGATATTCCTTTTCAAACTCAGATGTTTGCCTATCAACCTCATTGTCACCCCGAGGTTTATTTTGAACTTGAGATATAGTTATTATTCGCAGTTNGTACTTGAAAATCAGAAGTTTTCGTTAGGTGGTACATACATTTAACACTGGAACTCGAAATGTTAATGTAAATATTCGAAGAAGAAAGCTTGTTTATTTGTTCGCTATGCATTCAGTCGCTGTAATAGCTATCGTCACCAAACTTTTAAAGATACTTTCTAAAGTTCAAAGAATGATCGACATCTGCTTTGTTCTGAATAAAAAAAGAACAACAGACTTGTTACAGGAAATCTATGCGACTGATCAATTGGATTGCAGGGTTTCAAAAATAGAGAAAATCAGTAGCGAAGGCCATCTAATCGCTCATAGACAACAATCCACAAATTCTATCTGTATATGGGTATTCTGTACACAGTACAAGCAACCTATGAAGCTGATCGATAGAATTCACTGACCTTAGTATATAGAGAAGAAACGTTGTCTATCCGTCTGTGCGCTGTGAATTCAGTTTCTGTAATATTTACTGTTGTTAAACTTTGCATGGTGTTTCCCTACGTTTCGGGAAAGGTTGACATAGAGTTGATTTTTCAGATGGAGGGCTCCTTGAGGATACCTGAGTGAAATGTCACCCACCATCACAGAAAGCAAAAAAATGAAAATATCATCCTTTTACTCATGTATAACAAATGATAAAAGCGAATCCAAATCGTTTATATGATATAGATTCATAAATCCCTTCAGCTTTTTCTCTGAAGGATACATGATGAAAACAAACACCTTCTTTCGTTATATCATCATACTCATTCATATTTAGCAAATGACGTTTATTCTGTGTCGATTCCTTCATGAAGACAAGAATATTGACTAACTAAGACAAAATGAAAAGAACAGTCATCTCCCGATATAATACTTGTTTTATTTGATTTCAAATTCACCCACGTTGAAAAAATCGACGATGAAATGATATTATACCACAAGATATGACTTTATCAAAAGCAGAACGATTAGTCGTGATTTTTGAAAAGTTTTGGTCATTTTTTAAACTTATACTAGCGGGATAATTCGATGACTATTAAGAAATATCGACGCCGGAATCACCAAGTGTTTCAAAGCTGCACAACATAAAAATATCCATATACTACGAATTTTTCCCTCTGTTCTTTTTCTCTTTCTCATCATATATAACACACAACGGTAAATTTGGTTATATCACCTTGTGCCAAAGAACT